GTATATCACATTTTGTTTATCTGTTCACTAGTTGATGGACATTTAGGATGTTTCCCCTTTTGGCTGTTAGGTATAATGCTGCTATGAACATTCATGTACAAGAGTTTGTGTGAACATGTGTTTTTAAATCTCTCGGGGATATACCTAGCAGTGGAATTGCTGGGTTATATGGTAACTCTGATTTTCAACTTTTGGGGAACTGCTAGACTTTCCCAAAGCTATTGTACCATTTTACATTCCCACTAGCAATCCTTGCACATTCTCTACATCACTTGCTACTATTTGCCTCTTTGACTCAAGCGATCCTAGTGGATGGGGATTGATTTCTCATTGTGGATTTGACTTGCAGTTCCCCTGTGACTAACGATATTAAGCATCTTTTCATGTGCTTGTTGGCCATTTGTTCATCTTCCTTGGAAAAGCATCCGTTCAGATTCTTTGCCAGTGGTTTAGTTGATTTATTTGTCTTTTTGAGTCATAGGAGTTTATCTTGAAGCGTTTAACATCAGGTGTACTGGGGATGAAATTTCAAACTTGCCTTACCTCATGACATCATTCTGTGGTCAGAGAAGTTACCAGATCTTCTTCCTCTGTATGCGGTCAGCCCTGAGTCACTTCTCTATTGAGTCTGAGTGTGGTGGGGAAAGTTTCCAGTTCCCTGGACATGGCCTTTCACTGACATGGCTCAGAGGCTCTCTGAGAAGGGGAAGGTATGTGACATTGCCGTCTTCCGCGGCCATTGAAACCCTTACTGTTTTCAGTCTCCAAATAGAACCTCTCTTGTGTGAAATCCTCTCACCAGAGTTCCTGTCACTTTGTTAGGGAGGAAATCAATCTGGATGAATGTGAAGTATGTTGCCTGAATGCTAAAGGTGTTTTCTCACCTGTTGTCTGCAGAGACCAGTGATTCCTAAGGGGAGAAAACTACAACTTTAAGTACTCTATGTAATCCAGAGAAGAACACCAGTGAAGGACAAACTGTTTCTCCCATGTGTCAGCCTAGATTTCTAATTTAGCTTTGACATCCTCATATTCTACATATTCTTTATTTAATACATTCTTTTAAACATCAGGCCATATATCCTGGCTCTCCATTAGCCTGGCTCCTGGCTGTATATTACAATCACCTGGAAAACTTTTAAAAGCTACAGTGAGTGGTCAGATTATTATGATTTCTGAAGGCATAATAATCTCGCCACTCAGTACATATATATATATTAGAGGCCAAGTGCATGAATTCATGCATGGGTGGGGTCTGGCTAGCCTAGCTAGGGGGAGGGGGACATGGGCAGTTGGCCCGCCTGCCTGCTGGTTGAACTTCTGGTCGAGGGGACAATTTTCATATTAGGAGATTATACACTGAGTGGCCAGATTATTATGATCTTGAACACATAATAATCTGGCCACTCAGTGTTGGGGCCCTGCAACCAAAAAGTTTGATTTCACTGATCTGGCATTTACAGATTTCAAAGTTCCACTCATGATTCTAATATGCAGATAATTCTAAAACCTAAGCCCAGCTATTGCCAGCCTCTTAATTCATTATCCACTTAAGAACCCACTGCAGCACCTCTCAAACTTTATCAGGCGCAGGCATCATCTGGGAATCTTGTTAAAATGCAGATCTGGTTTGGTGGGTGTGGGGTGGGCCCTGAGGTCCTGGAATTCTAACAAGCCACCTGCTCAAAGCCTCAGAGTAGATGAGCCTAACAGAACCTTGATCTCTTCAAAAATTTAACTCCTTGAGATAGCCATCATGGAATCCAGTACGTGCTATTCTCCTTGTAAAAATAGGATTGAAAATCTATCATGGTCTATTCCGGCAGTCTGTGTTAAGATAAAGGTAGAATGATGAGCCTCCATATTAAATAAAATAATGATCCAGTTCCTTTAAAGTAGTCATAAAAATACTGCACAGCTGAGTGAATAAGTGACCTTGTGGGTCACATAATTGAAAGATATTGCTCTCTGGAGCCAGCCACAGGAGTCTCACTCTGTGATCTTGGAAATCACTTAATATCTGAGTCACTGTTTCCTCCATCAATTTTAAGTAGTAGAAGGTATTTCTCAGGGTGTTAGGAAGATGGCTGAAATCAGAAGTGCAAAGCGCCCATCAGTGCATGGGCCTCTGAATATGCCTAAAGAGAGGCTGAATCTTAAAAATAAAGTAAAATAAAATTTAAAAGAGCCATTGCATGACTAATGCGAATTTTCACTAAAATGTTTTGCATGAGGATTTAGAAAGATTCTCTTCTGCTTAATCCTCCAACTTGTCTTTTTCTCACCTCTGCCAACATTAAAATCATTCTTGGGAAAAGAAACCACCAAAGGACGAATTGAAGCTGAAATTGGAAAAAAAAAAATAAATAAAAGAATGCTACAACTTTGGCTTCATGAGAGACTACAACATATTTTGAAGAGATTTTTCTTTGTTCCCAAAAATAAAGCCACCTCTTTCTTTCTCACCACCTGCCTGAGTTACCACTCGATGAAAGAATGCCTAAATAGAATGTTTTAAGGTGCTCAGTCCTTTGAGACCCATCAGGTAAATGAGAGACTGAGAAGTAAAGTTACTATCATCAAAGGAAAAGCACTGCAAAAATAAAATTAAAAAAAATGATGTGTGTGTTTCCACTAAATAAATTGACCTTTCTTAATCAAATTCTTTTCTAACACTGAATGGAACCAAAAAATATTTCCATAAAAATTCTGGCCACAGTGAGAAAGTATTTAACATATTGTACTGATTTGCTAGCTTCCAGAAAACATAATTTTTATACTACACACTTCAGAGATACATTTTTAACAAATGATTAAGTAAGAAGCTTTTCTTCCCTTTATCATAGTAATTAGAAAAAACATTCTACTTGTTCCTCACCAGTGTGATAAGAGTGCATGAAGCGCTGTCTTCCTCACTGTTGTAGTCTTGGTTAGATTAACCTTTCAGTTTAAGAAAATAGCAAAAGCTATCTGACTGCTTTTCTTTGGTTAACAGAACAGAAGAAAACAAAACAAAAAAAGACAAGGTGAATCTGCATTCTTAGGGCGGGTTCCGGTGACAGAGCCAAAGCCCTGTGAATATGGGATTGGGATGGCAATGCGAGCACTTTAAGGTCCCTGCAACCCTGCAGGGTGCTAATCCTACTGCAGACAGAACTGTGAGGAACAGATGGGTGGGACAGAGGTGGGCTTCTGCTCTTTACCAAGATGGTGTATCTGGAGTCTTCACTACATTAACCCCCTCTCCGCTAACTTCCCCTGGGAGGGAAGAAGAGGTGGCAGATCCTTTTGTACATTAGGCTTGGAAAGTGAGCACAAGACATCCCTGTCAAAATTGCGTGGCTTTATTTGACCTTGGCTGTCCTTGCTGAGGGAAGAAACAGTTCTGTTCTGAAGCCAAAGGTGGATGTTACCTATCCCTTTGGATGTTTGCCTGTCTCCATCCAGAGGGCTAATTCATAAGCGCTCACTTCATCCTGCCTCTTTAAATTGATTGGCATGTCCTTTAATAATCACTTCAATTAATCGCTTTACTGTGCAAGTAGGGGGAAAAAATCAATGTAAAATGTAATGGTTCCTCCTGCCAGGGGCCCTATTGATTGTGTAACTAATGACTTTGAAATGATATGCCGTTATGCAAATCCCATCTGCTTGCGGGACCTTTGCCAGGCAGCCACAGAGAAACTGTGTTCTTTTGCTTCAGCTTTGATTTTTCCAGTGTCAGTTATCAAATACTGAAATCATTGTTAAGGATTATGACCCTAGTGAAGAGTGATACTTTAACGACAGATTTTGAGTGCTTATTGTATTATACAAATTGTGTGGGTCCCTATATCTCTCACATTCATCAGCTACTCAGTTTATCCAAAACTAAATAATGTCCATGCTATTAAGTCTATGTGTTTGTCTAAACACATTGTTTTAAAAACTTCAGTCAGAAATGTTTTTGGCCAATGTTCCTGGGGAAAAAAATCATTGTTTCAAAGACAAGTGTTTAGGAGCTCTGAGTAAGGTGTAATACATGAAAATTAACATTAATTTTCAGAGTCATCAAGGCTTATCAGAAGTTGAGATTTGCATAATATTAGCATTTGCCCCACCTGCCTATGGGTTACTCACAACCAGAAGACCACAAGGCAAGAAGCACTAAAGGATGGGTTACAGGAAGAATCCTTAATGAAATGCCTTGGTATGTCAGTGGGTGGAAAGTAGGGTAAATGGTGTCATCTGTGAAAGTTGGAACTCACCTTTGGGAGGGATGAGAATAGCTATAACACCATAATCCCTCACCCCTCACTTCTCAAGACAGCTGTGGAAAAGCGTCAGCCCCATCTTTGGAAAAACAAAGCATGAGCAACTTCCCTTGCGATTTGGTAGGGAATGTGACCTGAGTAAGAGTTTAATTCTAGGACATTGGGTGGGGTAAAATAAAGGACTTTTTCTTTTCTTTTGTGGTGCTTTTAGACATTTATTATTTCTATAAAATCTGATAATGAAAATATTATGTTTGGAAATACAGTAAAGCACAAAGACGACGAAAATATAATCCATAAGCCTAACACTCGGAGATAAGCTCTGTTGATATTTTGATGTGATTTATTGATTTGTTCTAAAGGAGTGATTTCTATAGCACAGCCCAGATGGTTCTACAGTTAAGGGATAGGCTATATAAATAACATTTTTCTTTTCTTACGATTGTGGTCTGTGTTCTTCTGCTTTTTCTTTTCATGATGAAGATAAACTTGCTAGTCCTGAGTGCTCTGTGTTGCCTGAAATAACTCTGTGGGCCTGGCCAGGGGAGCTGTGCCCTGGGTGACCCTCTCCAACCTTTCAGAACTATCCCATGCTCCTTCTTGAAGGAAAAATGCACCTTTCAGATGTTTCTCGGTTGCTGTTTGACTGGAAGTGCAGCTCGTTAACCTGCTTTCCTTTGCTTTTTGTGCCTTCTCTTCTCTTTCCTCTTGCCCTGGTTCGTCAACTTCTATTCTTCTCTGTTTCAGCAAAACAATATCAGTCAAGGTAATTGATGATGAGGAATATGAGAAAAACAAGACCTTCTTCCTTGAGATTGGAGAGCCCCGCCTGGTGGAGATGAGTGAGAAGAAAGGTGGGGGAGCTGCTCCAGGGCTGAGCCCCACAGCTTCTGCTGGCCGGTGCCACCCTGGATGCCTGCACTCTTCAGAACGTGACTTCCAACACACATATCCCTCCCGCTATGTAACAGGGCATAGATCTCACCTGGGGCCAGCTCGGGCCTGCCTGGAGCTCCACTGGCCAGTTTGGGCCACTCTGCCTATTATAAGTTTGAGCTATTCATTTTCAGTGCAGGCAATCAAGCTTCCATTTCTAGGAGAGTTGAAGCAGATGCTTGCTATGCCAAAATGAAACCAACTTTCTGATTTCTCTTCCTAATCCGGGATACCTCCTGACTGCTCACTGGAGCAGGGAGAATTTGTGAATGTGACAAATGAGCAAAGAAAACAATGGGGGCCAGCTGAGAGCACCCCAAGATGCCCTTTTACATACTCCAGGAGGTCCATGTGTTGCCATTTCTCCCTCCATAACATCACAGTAACATTCGGCTTGGTGAACACCTAGCATGAGCGTGTGACTCCAACCATTTGTTTTGCCTTTGTCTTGTGTTCCCACAGGAAGATCATTACCATTAAAATATTTGACCGTGAGGAATATGAGAAAGAGTGCAGTTTCTCCCTTGTGCTTGAGGAACCAATATGGATAAGAAGAGGAATGAAAGGTGTGAGAGTATACAAAGACGTACCAGCGAGAAATTGTACTCTTCTCTCTCCGTGTCTCCCTACTCTCACACTTAACTCTCTCCTCTTCCTCGGCTTCCAAGTACTATACTTCATTTCCTCTGAAGCTTTAGCAGTTTCATTTCCCTTCCCTAACAAGTGCACCAAGCTCTGCCCCATTTTCTTCGGGAAATGCCAACTAACCTTGACCGGAACCAGATTTAATCAATGCTGGAAGAGATTTCTGGCACTCAGAAATGATTATATATAATAAATTATAACAGAATGATTCGTGTGTTTAGTTTTTCAAACTGTTCAGGGGTCATTCTCAAATGTGGTTCCAACTATTAAAATCACCCCTAAAATGTTAGTGATAAAGACTACCTAATACCTGTTAGCCGTGGTAAATGTGTCTAATGGCAACAAATGGGAAATTTCAAAAGAATTAAGTAAGTAGGTTTTTTCAAAAGACCAGGTTTCAAAAAAATATTTAATAAGAACAAAATATCTTAAAGAGTAGCGGCATCAATATTCTAGTGCTCATTTGGACATACTATTTTTATATGATCAAATATGACATTTAAAAGGCACCATATGTAGGAAACCATAGTCATATAAATTTTCTTTAAGTAGGAAGGATATGGCCTTTCAGTAGGAATTTAGCCCTTGCTTAAGGCCTATCCACTCTTATGCTCCAGAATCTTTCTTTCTTTATAGAATTGACAAATTTTAACATGTATAGTAAAGAGAAAAGAATAAGCAGCCATATCCTCAGAATAATTTTTTTTGGTTAATTTGTACTTATACATGTAGAAAATATTTGAATACAGAAGACAATTTCTTTGTCCTCTTCGACTTCATATCTATTTTATGTGGCCTATATTTGCTAAGAAAGGGCAATAATTTTATGTCAGCTTTAAAGAAAATTTTTTATTCTGAATTATTGAGGACTTCCTATAATTATCTTCTACTAGTGGCCATTTAAAAAGGAGTTCTATTCATTTAATTATATGTATAAATTGAGAATGCTACCTATTAACTGGCATAGAAACAATTGGTTAGATGGACCACTTTGCAAAAAAATTTATACTTTTACTTGTAAAAAAACAAAATATATAGGACTAATTTTTATACAGACCCAACATTTGGAGGAATTTAATCCCACATTTGTAAGAACTCAGTGTCCTCAGAGTCCTTTAGGGGGAAAAAAAAGTTTATGTTCCTGACTTAATCACATTCAAAATCATAACAGAAGCCTTTGGAATATGGAAATAAAAACCACTGGGGAGCCATTTTAATTCAGCCTGTTTAATATGTTCCATGGACAGCAGGCAGAAGGAAAAGACACTTTAGAAAATTGTACTGATTTCTTACAAAGATGGGATCAAAAATGCCTCATTAACATACAGGAAGAAGCACTTACTTCTCCATAAATTCCTCTCTAAAGGGAGCGCATCTTAGATACAGTTCTTTCAGTTGTCATTGCTATAAAATATGCCCTCATGTAAAAGCAAATTAAAATTCCTTAATGGCACTCTTCATTTTTGCACCCGCCAAGTAGATTCTTATTACTATAAATAAAATCACTCACTTGTTTCAGGAAGTCTCTTCTAATGCCACTACCATTAGAAGGAAAATTGGGCCTGAAAAACTAATTAGAATATTCCATCTATTATACTACTCTGGAAGTCATTTATTTGATACTTTCAGCCAGGTAGCTTCCACCAAAATGAAGTGCTTCAGTATAATCTGGGTTTAAAACACATAACCTGAAAGACAAATTATATATGCTCCCCCTACACACACACACACACAGCCATGCCTTATCGGTTTTTCCATAGAATTAGGTGTCCACAGAAACATTCAGGCTTGTCCAATTATAATGTGCAGAAGTCATAGGTAAGAACAGAAAAATAAGCACTAACTCCTGGGATTTGAGTTTTGAGGACTTAAAAAACATAAGCATTCATTGATGGCCAAAATATCATGCCAGTAGAACCTACAGAGAGAGAACTTTATCTTGAGCCAAAGTGTCCTTCCAAAAAGTTTGGCCAAGATGAAATTTCCCAAGATGTTTTATCTGTTTTCATTAAATGAAAGGTATAACGCCTGAGATCTTGGATGATTTAAGATTTTCATATATTGCATTAACTAACTCCCAGGCAATATTTCAGGAAAAGACTCACTCAAATAAAGTTTAGAATTAACTTCATAAAATGTTTCTACTATACTTGATAAACTAGATATATATACTTTGTCTAAGCATAGACAGTAGAAATGTTTGACTAAATGTCAAGCGATAATGATATATAGAATGAACTATATATAGAGATAAATATTACTCAGTCACACACATTTGCAGAAATTCGTGTTGGAATTATCGAGAAATATTACCAATGCCGCATTTCTTTGGGATGCACCAATTTTTTATCAGTGGCTGCCTGCCACTGTCATCAGATCTGCCTGGATTTCTTTCTGCTGATATTCCTCTTCCTTTCATTATTCATCTGGTCTCTTATTCTGTGTTTGTCTTTGTCTGTTTCCTTCACAGCCCTGTTATTGAATGAGCTTGGTAAGCATTTCATTTCTTGCATTTCCTTTCCATTGTTAGAGGTTAATTTCCATTTCTGTCAGGTGATACAATAGCTTTCTGACTTTTATTTCTGTTGACTTACTGGCAAAATTGTGGTTTAGACCCATTGGCCTCGTTTTTGTTAAGGTCAGATTTATATTCCAGTTTTAGTTTAACCTTTTGAAAAATCAGTCATTTCCTAGGCATGCACAGAATTAAATGTGTGCACTGAATCCTATCATCTTAAAAGAATGATTAGTGATTAAGTCATGAACAAATGTTTTCATATTTTTCTTAATTGTAAATATAATTTGGCCAGTTTTTACCCCTTGGATGGGTTGTCAAACAGTCTGATATCACTGATATTTGTTATTTAGAGTGTGGCTTAAATAAATTGTAACATTTATTTTTTTTTCTTTTTTAGGTGGCTTCACAATAACAGGTATGAATTTTTAAAGTCTAATGACATCAAATTTTACTTTTTACTGTCTGTTTTCATCATATATTGTATGCATTTTTAAAAAATCATTTGTCATTTTTACTTTCTTTTAATGAAGGAAAATGCCTGTATGGTAAGATAATTTTTTAATGTTCCTCATTTTCTTTAAATACCCTTAATATCCAAACCAAAACCTCATCTTATGTAACCTGTATATTAACACTTAGCTATGGCACATGGTGTGTTCTTGCTGATTTTAGACATTCAACATTTTACACACTAACAACGTGCGTGTTGTATTCATTTACACGCAAATTTAAAACATCCTATAAATTGTTCACATTTTGACCCTGGTCAGTTTACAAATGTCCACCTAGCCCTGGCGATGTGCAGTGTCCCCTGCTAGATGTTCCAAAATGTACCAGAGTAACTAAGACAAGGAAACATAGGAGTTGACATCTAAGACTTCTCCACAGCCCAAGCTCAGGATACCAATAGTAACTAATATTCTGTTGGGAGAAGGCCCATCCCATCATCCCACCACACCAATATGGACAAACCCCTCTCTGGGGACTCAAGTTTTATTAACACTTATAATTTAATGAGTAATATTTCTACCAGTAGAAGTGCATTACAAAATGCTCTACAAAAACTGAAAATGCCAGCCAAAAAGTACAAAACCCTTAAATTCAGAATGGTACCAGCCTGTGTGGACAGCACTGGTTAGCATGACTCTAAAGCTATTTTCTTGTATATGGAAGTAAGGTATTTCCTTACAGCATTGCCACTTTTTATCCTTAATGTTTCCTCACCCTTTTAAAATCATCTATGCAGATTTAGAGGACGATAAATATCAAACATCTAATATAGTGTGTAGATATTAGTATTCTCATTTTTTTCCTGAAATCAGATAGCTGAACAAAACAACAACAACAACAAAAAATTAAGGATATATTGCCAAATATTTTAATGTTGAAAATGCTATTGGGGAAGTCAGGGTTAACCTCAACCATTGTTAGTGTAAACTCATGATTCAGTAGCTCCAACATGATTCTGTCCAAAGTGGAAATTTCTGAGTATGAGCAATTTCACATGGACTCTTACTCTCCTCTGCCTCTCAGACAAAACATTTAATGACACAATGATTCATAGACTCTCAGAGACATAGAAATTGAAAAGGATAAAAATGTTAAACAGGACAAGTGCTGGTAGAGGATTTGTTAAATCTGACTCATCTGAAGCTCTCCCAGGTCAAGTCTCCCAGTTCATGCATGCTGTTTTTAAATCCAAGTTCAGGAATTTCCATTTCTTTTTAAAGTTTTTATCTTCTTTTCCTCGTTCACCATTTTAATTCCTTGAAGTCTTTCTGGAAATATTCTGTTTCTGTTACCCAGTATGTTAATTATCCTGGTGAGATTTGAGGAAGATAGAATTTGGGCAAAGGTTAACTTCCTGGCTTCTTTGAATTAATTTTTTTAAAGTCAAGCAATGTAGAAATACTATAGTACCCAGCAGCACCTTCAGCCCTATGCGGACTGATAATGAAACCCGAACTAAAAATCTCTGGCTGTAGGACAAATGCCTTATTAAAATGCATTGAGGTGTTTGGATAGCTATTTCCTTGAACATTGAATGTCAGGATTTTGCTTTGAGGGTCTTCCTTCCATATCACTTGAAACATCTTCTCTTTTAGTATAGAGGTAATTGGATCCCAGTTTCTTTTCTCAGAAACTATTCCTATAAAGCTCTCGAATGTCTGTGAAGTTATGTCCAATATTTGCTGTCTTGGACACATCTTGCATCCAAGAGAGCAGAGTCACTTCTGAAGGTTTCTATTATTTCATGTATTAAATCAAGTCCTTTCTTATTTCTGAAACTTTCATCTGACACAGCAGTTTTTGTGTTGACACTACCTCTTCCCAAGACTTGAAATTGATGGTATTAGAACGAGAGAAAGTTCCAGAACTTTGTGGAAATCTCTTCATTGGCCTCTCACTTTACATGACCCTTCTCCAGAACTCGGCTGGAAAGCCTGGGATCTGCTCTACAGATGCTCCTGGGGAACGTTCTGAGACTTTGGTCTCCACAGTCTAAAGCAGCTTTAAGTCCCAAGGAGTTCTTCTTTGAAGTGTGTTTGAGGTTTTGAAGGCAAGGCTTTGAGGTATAGGGGTAATGGAGAGAAATTAATCTAGCCTTTGGGGTTTTTTAAAGAATTTTTTTTTTATTGATTTTTAGAAAGAAAGAGAGAAACATCAATGTGAAAACTAACATCAGTTGCCTCTTGCACACCCTCAGTTGGGCATCAAGCTTGCAATCTGAGCATTTGCTCTGACTAAGAATCACACCAGCAACCTTTTGGTGCATGTGGTCTGATAATGAGACCTGAACTAAAAATCTTTCTGGCTGTAGGACAAATGCCTTATTAAAATGCATTGAGGTGTTTGGATATCTATTTTCTTGAACATTGAATGTGTAAGAATTTTGCTTTGAGGGTCTTTCTTCCATATCACTTGAAACATTTTCTCTTTTAGTATCTAGGTCATTGGATCCCAGTTTCTTTTCTCAGAAACTATTTCTTTAAAGCTCTCAAGTGTCTGTGCAGTTATGTCAAATCTCATGCACCCAATCAACTGAGCTACGCTGGCCAGGGCTAGCCTTTGGATTTTGCCTGCAGCTTTTATGTGTCTTGTGTAGCTGAATGTGAAAATCTCAATTTGAAGCAGGATATATGGAAATTTAAAAAATTGTTTGGTGCACAGCCCAGCACCTATATTTCAGAGATCTCATTACTTAGTGGTGGCCATAAAGTCCTAGAGGTACTTCTGGAATTTGTAAATATTTACCTATTGCTCCTAGAGCTTGCCTCTTTGAAAGGCTCTTGTTTGGACCTATGAGCTCATAAAACCCTATTCATTATAGCTCATTAGAGTTTGTAAAGTAATTCTTGTTTATTATATCATTTAATCCTCAATCCTTAGGGAGGAAGATGTTATTGTTCTCATGTACAGGAGAGGAAATGAGGATGCAAAGAGATTGACCCATCTACCCCACATCATCCATTCAAGACTCAGGGCTAAGCCCTCTGACTTAAGTCCAAGGCCATGTGATGAGTGTTCCAATCCCAGCAGTTTTATTGCCTTTCTCCTGACCACTTCATTCCTTCCTGCATCGTCATCTTTTTTCAATTCAAAGCCCAGCTGTTTCATAGATGCCATCAGCATGAATGCTAGTCATATGAAAAACTGGGGGGACCCCAAAAGAGGGTCCACATAGTTGGGATATTTTTAATAAAATGGAGCATTCTGGCTCAGTTAGGAGAAAAGAGAGTCGTGTCTGATGCCTCAAACAGGCAGCGGCAGAGTTCCTTAATTAATTCAAAGTATATAACAGTCAGTATACCTCCTTTAAAAGTTAGTCTTCCAATCACAGTATGCTCATCATGTAATAGACTAAATTAGGCACATAGAAGGAAGCCACACTATGAAGATTCTGACATTTATAAACTTCAGAGTAACAAACCCCCTTCAAGTTCAGTTTTATTTTAAAATTGGGGAAGGAAAAAAGTCTCCTGGAAGATAAGTGCTTGGTCAAATTTAGACAGCAAGCATATAATAAAGTTGAAACCAAATCCTCAATCTCATGATTCCGAGATCAGGTTTGGGTAGCTCATACTAGAAGCCAATAGCAAAATCGGGAGTTTGATGAAAACCCTAGGCCTAGGGAATCCAAACAGTTGCTATGACCATGGTATATCTTGCAAAGACAACACTCTCCCATTCACAATTTCCAGGAAATATGTAACGTTTTCCCAGATGTTATGTTACTTGACCCTCAAACAAACTTGTGACATAGACATAGCAGGTAACTATTGTTCCTGCTCCACACGTGAAAAAACTGGGGAAATGGCCTACTCTGGGCTATGTCGTTGGCACCAGTAGGAAAACCAGGCTACCTTTCATCACACCAAGTGCTTTCCATTGTTTCATGATGCCTCTGGAGGAAGAAACTTAGAGGACGTGAATATCCCATTTCAGAAACCTGCAGGAATCTGGCTGCTCCCCCTTCTGTGGCATGTGTGGTTCATTCACATGATCTGGTTTGGCTTATAGAACACTTGCTCTGTTCACCTCTCACTTCTGCAACCTACATCGGAGCGACCTATGAGCACTCAGTCCTCTAACATTGCTTGTGATGTGTGCATCTCAGTGTGATGTTCAGCTTACTAACTCTACAGAGCTCTACTCGCAAACCTATGCAATGCTTCCTGCTGACTTTCTGCCTGTCCTTTTGCTAGGCCAACCTGTCTTCAGGAAAGTTCATGCTAGAGAACATCCGATTCCCTCTACTGTAATCACCATTACAGGTACTCGTTTCATCATGCTCCTAGAAAACCAGTGTAATTAATTTGAAGTAACTGCCTTCAAATGTTCTTCAGGTCTTTAGACATTAAAGTGACCCAGGTTAGCCCCTGTCCCCTCTAAGCTATTGCTAAACAATGCAGTGGCTCTCTGTACCGGGGGTGATGGCAGATCAGCAGCAACAATACAGGACTGGAGGTGTGCATGGAAGAGGAATTAGCATGGACCATTAGAGGGGATTGATCCCAATGGCCTCTCACTCTCATGTTTCAATATATCCTATATTTCTTGCAAATCTTGCTTCTCAAGCATGGGCCTTTCATTCCAAGTATAATGAAGTCTCTTTGAAGGCAAGCCATATTTCTTCTCAGATCCCGCCTTTCCTGCCTTCAGCCAACACGATGTGAGCCATATGTGCACAGATGATAGCCCATCTGTGCGGTTGGCAGGGTGACTGGAGGATCCCACAATTACCCCAGATCTCCCTAGGTTCAGAGCCCACAAACCATCTCCTTGATCTGCATCTCTGGACGAGGACACAGATATTCACTCTTTTGTATCACCACAACCCCTCACCTGCTATGGCAGTAGAAACAGGTCTATCTGCCCCAGTAACACCTTCTTTATCCCCACTTCCCACATCCCTACTCAATGATCTTGATACCTAGCCCTGACTGCAGAATTGTTCCAGAATGTTCCTCGTGGAAACAAAATTACAAAGTCTCCTCAGCTCTTACCAGAGAGGCCAGCACTGAACACTGTCAAGAGCTCTGGGCTCTCAGGCTTTTAGCATAAATCTGAGTCAAAGATTAAAATAGCCTGGAGCCAACTGTCCCACCATTGGATTTGTATCCCTTTCCAAATTTGAGGTTGTTTGTTAAGATTAAAAATGGCAAATACATTAAGAAGAATCAACAGTAGCTCCTCAGGCACAGATCTGTGGGTGGTATTGTTTTCTAATAGGGGCCCCTCTCAACCCTTCACGGTTCACAGTGACACTGCGTCAAAATGCAGCCTGAGCCCAAAAGCAGCAGCAGCACTTGTGCATCCCTCTGCTCTGTCCAGATCCCATGGACCCACTAGCTTCTGTTGCTTACTGTCCACAAAACCAAGTACTCAGGAGAAGGGAGGTTCCCGTACGCGTGATTTTATCACAGGATTGTTTTATGTCCTATCAATGCTGATTTTAATAGTGGCTATTAATTATACATTTTATCTTTTAAGTTGTGTTGGTTGTTTAAGACCATGATGTTATATGATTTATTATCAGCTTGTTAATAAAATATGAGTTTGAAAAGTACACATGTATATATATATATATATATATATATATATATATATATATATACACACACACACACACACACAGAAAATCAATTTTCTCACTCTGCATAAGTAAGGAAATGAAACTGATTTGATCACAGTAAATGGGCTGCATTTGATCTACCACTCAAAGTGAAAAGGAAACAAACATAATAGATAATTTAAAAATGCTGTTAAACTATTTCTCTTTAAATTTTTTTTTTTTTTAAAAAAGAGGACACTTTTTAAAAAGAAAAATTGCTATCTTCTTTGCCAGTGTCAAAAATTTGCACCATAAATGCTAATTGGTCAGTATCATTATAGAGCAATAATAGGATTTACCCAGCTGCCCTTTCTCAGTAACATATAAGTAGAGGGAGATCTTACACGTTCGTGACATTTAGCCAATGAAATTAGCCCTGACCCTTCCAAGACACTGAGCCTTTGTGCTTTGACTTCTCTCTGCCTGGAATGCCCCTCCTTACCACCTCCTAAGCCATCTTTCCACCACCTTCACCTGACAAGCTTCTATACGTGCTTCAAGGCCAATTTCAAATACCTCCTCTGTCCTGAAGCCTTCCCAGACTCCTCCAGGCAGAGTGAGCTGCTTCTCCACCTGGTCCCTCAGCCCTTACCTTGCACTATAGCAAGTTGTCCCACCCACATGCCTAGCATCCCACTAGACTAGCGGTCGGCAAACTCATTAGTCAACAGAGCGGCAAACCTCAGTTTATCAGCCGTATGTGGCTGGAGAGCCGCAGTTTGTTGACCCCTGCACTAGACCATGGGTTCCTGGGAAAGGGGGGAGGAGGTTTCAGTGTGCTCACACATTGTGAAAGCACAATAACAGGTGTTAAATGAACAAATCATCTTTACATACAAAGAACAAATAAGAGGCTTTTCTAACAGTGCATTGGAGAGTCTCACCACAAATATTTATTGAGGACCTACTACATTTTATACATTGTAAGGGGGGTTGTTGTCACAGTTCGAAGAGCAATGAGACATTCTATCTCACTAAGTTTACATGCTGGGTATTTATATATAAAGACAACAAATTTTTTATAAATATTAGCAAGATTTGTGCTCAATATACACAACAAATATAATGGAATTAGTATAAAGTTGGGATGGTCATTCCTAAGTAGGTCAATCAGGAATTTCATGCAAGAAGAGGCAGGGTTTTGAAAGATAAGTCAGGTTTAGCTGGGTGGAAATGGAGAAGCTTTTCCAAATGAGTGGACAATAGCTTAAAAGTGTGGCATTAAATTCAAGTCAGGTTTGGAGCAAGAGTAGGAAATAACAGAAACAAGCTTCCTTGCATTTCGATAGGCTTGTATGAATCTGTTCAGAGAGTATTTCCTAAATTTTGTTTGTTCTCCTACCTCCTTTAAAATATTTGCCTTTATAACATACCAACTATACTCTCATTTACTTAATGTAATAGTTTGAAATTGCCTCATGTTTGTGCTTCGCTAAATTTGTTTTTAAAACAACATTTTAAACAAAATTGTCACTAACACTAATGGAAAGCTAGTATCATTTATCATTAGTAGAAAATAAGGTTAAGGAAAGTTAAAATTGGAAAAAAAGTTATTAAATTCTAACTAAATACAGTCACATGCTCTTTGCCTGAGGACTGTTTTCTTTCTTAAATGTTAAAAACCCAAATGTCAGAAACTTAGTTACAGATATAACAGCAACAAACTAAGCATTTCTTCTTGATCAGGACTTGAAGGATGATTAAAAGGGAATAACCTTTTCACTCACTGTGTGATTCAATTTCATTTCCTACCGTGTCCATTTATTTAGTACCACACTCCACATCATTTCATTTTGTGCAATGCAGCATCAAACAATGCCTTTAAATCACCCTTCTTTTGTAATTTTTTTCTGTTACTTGAATCCCATTAAAATTACCTTGAATCCCATTAGAAGCAACTTACCATTTGTAAGTGAACTTCAGAAAAGGGGGAGGAATAATAAATATTATTCCCCAATAGCTTTGCAATTCAAATAAAAATCCACATCCTAGTAGTTCTTCTGAAAAAAAAAAAAAATCTAACTTGAAGGCATGCATGTTCAGCCAAGGTTTTGAACAAAGATATTAATATAACCTGCAGTTATGAAAACTACCAACAACATTATCCTATGTTCAAGGATCAGATGCAGTAGAAATCAAAACATGATTGATTTTGTACACTGAGTAAAATTAGGCATCACATATTTCAGCCCCCACTTCCCCTGCCCCCGCCCTTGACTACACACACATAATTTCAAGGACAAGTCTTAGACATGCCAATCAGAACCCTTTGCCTTCTCTTGGGTCATAACTTCCCAAGTCTACTTTTAAAAAGATGACCATTTTCACAATTAAAATGAATCTCCCTGCACCTTTCCTTTGCATCTGCTGACATCCAGCAGCAGTCTCTGGCCCGTCCAAAAATCCCTTCTTTTTAGTCTTTATCCCATATCTTCAGGGCCCTGTCATCACTGAGGATAGGAAAGCAGATTCTGAAACAGCCTTTTAGGAAGACTCTACTAAGTGCATACTAAAGGATTAATTGATATGCCGCGTTCTGCTTTGGGCTCCCGTTGGTGTTGACTCATGGTGTGTATAAAATGCTAGTGGTGCCTCTAGCTCATCCGCTCTGTGCCCTAAGCAGTGAACAACTGGCCTAGGAACCAATTGTTGCAACATTTGCTAGAGTATCACATGGAACCATCACATGAGTAAAATTAGGGTCCCTCAGCAGAGGGAAGCCATGGAGGGAATGGAGGGTATGGACTCCTGCAGAAGCTGATGCCTAAAGGCAAAAGACAGGGAGCTGAGCTACAAGTCCCTCAGCCAGCAGACTCCTCCCACAGGCAGTGTGCCTGGATCATCATTCTAAAGATGAGCGCATCAGGGCTGATGTCTTTCTGGAACACAGATGCTGCTTCCCTGGAGATGAGGGTTCTTCCACTGGACTCTGAGGGGACGTGGGCTGCCTTGCTGCAGCCTCCTGGGCCTCAAGGAGAAAGGGGCTGGTGATTATAGGAATAGTGTTTGACCTTCAGACGTGCATGGCCTTTTCCGTCTGGGATTTATCCTAATGACCTTCAAGCAGAGAGGAGCCAACTGTGAGCTTCCCCTCATTAGTGGGCCCTCCAGTCCAGTAACATTTTCTCAGCACCCCCCTAGCCTCCCTGGGGTGTGAGCTACATGGTGGCTCTGGAAATAATCATGCTGACGTGGTGAGTTGCTTTAACTCCCCAGAGGCCTCACCTTCGCCCTCCCTGTTTACTCTAAGATTAACATGGTCAAGGTCTTCCTAGCACATTTCAGCTTTGCACCAAAGAGAGGAAGCCCTGAAGCAGGCATCTTACAGAAACATGGGATAGATGTTTTGCTTCCTAATTTGCAACAGGGGGGTTCTTGGAGAGTGAGAGGCGAAGGTCAGAATTTTCCTTCCATCGTTTCTTTGGCCTTGGGGTATTTCTGTTGCTTCTAGAATGTGGAGAGAAAGAGGCCAGATTCCTTTATCCCTGGAGTCACTCTCACTCTTTTCATTATGTTTCCTTTTGGTCATGTGATAAAGGAATGTGTATCAAGAGCCAGATGAGCCAGTGTCACCGGGGACAGCAGAGCAATTCTCACAACATAGACAACGCGCAGGCAGAGTTTGTCAGTGATGTGTCCCCGTGTGGTTTTTCCTGGCCTGCACTTTCACATGTGCTTAGGCTGTGGGGCTTTGTCATCTCTTGCTGTCATAGTGGTAGGCTGCCTGACCTACTTAGCATCTGTCTATTACTCCCCTCCAGCCTTATGGTCTCACCAATGGGATTTTAGTAGGTCATTAGGGCTTCCTTCCTTCTCCGTTTCCTGACCCAGGGAGTTCCAAATAAAACTGAGCGCATCGCTCACTTTCTTGCCCTTCCCTTTCACAGAGGAATGTGACGACAAGCAGCCGCTGACCAGCAAAGAGGAAGAGGAGAGGCGCATTGCGGAAATGGGGCGCCCCATCCTGGGAGAACACACCAAGCTGGAAGTGATCATTGAGGAATCCTATGAATTCAAGGTATGCTCACCCACACTGCCCACCCAGGAGGCCAGGGCCATCCTACTAATATCAAAGCTTTATACGTCAGATCTACCTGGAAAGAAAGGCAGATGTAATTTCGTGAACTTGCTCACTGAGAGGCCTTCACCGCGGAATTGGAATTAGACAGTTGGAAGGGGATGAGGATTTCTAGGAACCAAACAGCATCAGAACCAGGCCTCCGTGGGTGCATCTGTCAAAGGGTCAGAGGTGACCCAAAGGCAGGGGTTTGTCTGCGAAAGTATCAATAGCAAGGAAGAAGCAAAGGTGGATTCCAGAAAAGCATTATGCGTGGCGGAAACCAAGGTCTATTTGAAAAAGCTAATAAATCTGGAAGAAAAGCAATCACCCCAAAATTTAGGTGGCTTTTGTTAGGTACTGAAAATTAGGATGCTTCTGTTTTGATGGGGGAGATGGTAAGCTCTCCTGATGGAACATCCCATCGACCAGCACCCATGTATGTATGGTTAGTCATCCTTTTAAGATCCCAGGACATTTTAGTATACTCAACATACTGAAGGTATAAGTCTGTGACCAGAGAGTTCATAATTGTGCTGATATAATCATATCCCCAGTTCTCTAGATGATGGCAATGATTTTGCAGAAATTAAACAACAGGCCTTAGAGTGAGCTTAGGACTTTGAGGTGCAAGTTCCTATCCATTCTCAGCTGCTCCCTCTGCCCTTAACCCACCTCCCATCCCAGCTCACTCGCATTGCCCTAACATCTGAGAAGACTCTAGCGGAGCCATGCCTGAGAACATGCAAAAGAGCAGCCTCCCTCTGGCTGTCCAGAACTGCAAATCCAGAGCCAGCAGAATTTTTTCCACTTGTTTTTCTTTTTTAAAATTTATTTACTTTTTATTGATTTCAGAGAGGAACAGAGAGAGAGAGAAAGACATCAATGATGGGAGAGAATCATTGATTGGCTGCCTCCTGCACACCTCCCACTGGAGATCAAGCCTGCAGCCTGGGCATGTGCCCTGCCTGGGAATCAAACCATGACCTCCTTGTTCATAGGTCGACTGTCAATCGCTGAGCCAAGCCAGCTGGATTCCACTTGTTTTGAAAAGCAGACTCTGCTCCTGTTGGGAAACCAGAATGAGGGCTCCAAAGGGGAGAACAAAGCCACCAACTTAGAAGCCTCAGTGTTTTATCTGGATTTGTTGTCATTGTGGCCTCTTTTCCTTCAGCTGAGCAAGTAGGGGTAAATTCTAAGATCAGTGCTTTCTAGGCAGACCCTGACCATCAGAGCTCACCTGTTGTTTGATCTGGAGCATGACTGGTGCACACAAGCTCCCTTTAAGTCCAGGGTATAGATATCTCAGACCATCCGTTTCCATAAACCAGTCATGTTCAACCTGACTCTTCCTTATGCACCTTCTTTTATGTGGAAGTAGAGGGTCTGGGGCCACTTGCTGCAGCAAAGACTCTCTGGCTTGGCATTTATTGTCTCCCACCCCTCCCCGGTCACTGATGGGGAACTGGGTATCATCTCCCTTATACCACACAACCCCCAACCTTCCCCTTCCATTTACCAGGACAAGGAAGAGCAATCACAGTGCCTTCGGCAGGAAGTGTTGGGTTGGGTTCTGTAAGGTAGTCTTTCAGAGAGCAATGCTCTCTTGAGTCCAAAGCTCTAATAACCACTCTAATGACCTGTGCATCTAAGAGTCCTCCAAGTCTGTTTACATAAATCTAGTTGTTTAGGGTACTTATCTTCCTAGAATAGCTTCCATAAGCTATTTCCTTACTCCTTACTCCTGTCTCCTCAGAGTTCATTAGTACAGTGACTGTTATCAGTGAAGGGTAACTAGGGGACATTTTTCTCAAGTGCTCTCAAGTATTCATTTTGATATCATATTATCCCCTTAAGAAATTTCTTTTTATAGACCATGGCTATTTTCAAGAAGTTGTTTAAATGTCTCAGAACTGCATGGAAGTCCAAAATCTGGGTGACACCTTACAGTGTCCACTCTGCTTTGCCCACTGGGTTCTTGTTTACTTGTGACTGAAGGCTTGACTTTCCTAAGACCCATTGCTAAAGGTGAGGTTATAGCAGTCGCTTACAAGGCTAGGGCAATGCAGAGTTCATCACGGACATATAGTAAATCTCTAGGTAAGCATAGATGTCACTACCCCAAGTTCAAGTGTCTGAACTTCAGATTTATCTTATTTCTTTGGTCTCCTCCCATAAGTCAAAGGAGGACACATTCAAATTAAGTTCTAGGAAGAACCTAAGCTATCCCATAGTCCCCCAGGGTTAACATAAACTAAAAGTTTATAATCTATCCTGAGTATTACGTATTTATAAGTTTTAAGTTTATTCTAAAAACTTAGTTCTTTAGAGATATTTCTTGAGGCATGTCTGCATTCAACTGTTAGACCAGTTTATCTGTTCAACTATTTATCTCCAGGTGATAAACATGAAATTCTCTGGCGAGACCTGCCCCAAGTTTCCATTGCATTTAGGAAAAATCAAGGTCATTTCTTGTTTCATTCTACACAGAACTCTGAATTGGCATCAACCAAGACACTCCGAGTGCTTGATGAGATGAGGATGAGTTGAGAGAGAAAAGCCAGATGCTTGCCACGCACTTAAGTTGTGGTGGCCAAGAGCAGTGCTGGCTATAGCTACTATCTGGAGCACAAGGCCTGAGGTCACCACCTTAAGGACAAACAAGCTAGCAAAGGATGGTGCTGGTGATCTAGAGTGGGCCAGTTGGAGATGGGCCCTTTCATGTTATCTCAGTATTTCAAGTCAGTTCAAAAGACACTGGTTGAACTAACACACTTGACATTCTGATTTAGCTTTTGTCTCTAGAGAGGCCCCTTGGATTATGTTTTGTTTGTTTGTTTGTTTGTTTTTACCCCCATTTAGCTGATACTGTGCTCTCTCTCTCAAACTGTAGTCAATTCATGTACACTGCATTATATGTGTACAGAGTTTGACCTAAGACAAATAATATATGTTTCAGCCTCTTTGCAATTAGTGGGAATTTGAGAATGCTCTGGCAGTAAGTGTGTGTGGGTAGACTAGTTGAGGTGGTGGTCCCTCTGGAAGAGCAGCCTCATGTCCTGGACGTGACCCTTCTCCCTGTAGGGGCTGTGATGTGGTAGTGCTTTGAGTGTGTCTGCTTACTTAGTATTCTTGCAAATGCTTGGCTGCTCCTGTTGTTACCTTAAGTGACAATTAGAGAGCTGCAAAGTGCTAATTGTAAAAACCCAGTGCTTTAAAAAGGTGGAAAGTAAAATCAGAGGTTCCGTGTTAGTAAAGCAGGGAGGAATCAAGGTAAATAGCAATGTGCCCTATACTCTACGCATTACCTCTTCTTGTCATATTTTCACCAGGAGTAGGATGAGAGTAAATTCTCTGACAGCCACCAGGCTGACAAAATCAGGAGCCAGAGAAAAATCCATTTATGGATGGTCATTCAGCAGCAGTTTTGAGCTTCTGCTGTCTGGTTGCAATGTATTGATAAAAGTACAATAACAATTTCTAGGCTTATAATCTACCTGCCAATACCGGTATTCACAGATATGTAACTGCTGAGCAGGACATAGGTGGATTAAGTTGCAGACAGCACACTACTGATAAAGCCAATCAAGAAACAAGTTCATGAAGCATCTAGGGAAAGAGGGATGGGCTTTTGCAACATCTGCTATTCTGAATGCCGGGACCATTCCTCATTGGCCACTTAGACAGTGAAGGAGGCATTTGCTATAAAGAACAAGCTTCCTTTTCAGCATGTTTTCCAAGTAAGGACTATATGCCAGTTTGCATAATCATAACGGTGTTTGATGTCAATACTGTTGTTCCGAGCCTAACATCTGCTACCCTTTATATAACTCTGGGGTTTCAACATCATCAAGGTCTTAGCTCTTCCAAGGCCTTAACTAACCCAGCAGCTATTATCATATCCTTTTCAACCTTTCTAGAGCACCGTGGACAAACTCATTAAGAAGACAAACCTCGCCCTGGTGGTCGGCACGAACAGCTGGAGAGAGCAGTTTATTGAAGCGATCACTGTCAGTGCTGGTGAGTGCCTCTCTCTGCATCTTATAAATTCTAATGACCAGACTGCGCTTGCTTTCTCTACTGTGACCACTGGTCTATGGCAAAGCACCAAAGCACCTCCGTGCTGAGAATGGAAAGAGAAGTGAGCGTACTGGTAGCATACAGGCACATTTGGGGGACCAATTTCTACTTTCTAGGGGAAGCAAATGTCCTCCGACATGACAGTCTTCTTCCTCTACATTGCTTCCTTCTCTCTGGAAATAGGCCTGATAAATGTAGAGCCTTTTGGGTCTCTCGCGTAGCCAATCACCAAGCTTTGTCTGGAAAATTCCCTGAAAGCAGAAGTGGTCAAGTGAAGGTCACAAAGGAAATAGCAAGATCCTAGGTGGGCCAGGCTGACGTGACCTCACTTCCCCTCCACCGGCTGCATCATTTTACACTCTCTTCAGCCACGCCTCGCCAGTAAGTGTCTATACCGGCTCTAGACAGGCAAATATAATAGAATCGCATTCTCTTTCTTCCTGTATAAGCAAAGTGCAGGGTTTTATTTAGGAAAACCCTGCAAAATGAATTGTTTTTGCAAACTCAAGGAGCCAGAGACCTGAGGGACCTAAATATAGAAAGAAGCGTCTCTTTCCTGGGTTGTCACGCCCTGTCGTGTGTTCTTGTATAAAGACAGAGCAAAGTCCCTCTCACAGACTCTAAAAACATCAGTGGGATTTTTCCCCCCCAGTTCTTCTGCTCCAGCTCCACTGGAGTTTTTCTCTTTAAAGATCCCTGCAGGTTGCCCTAACTGGTTTGGCTCAATGGATAGAGTGTCTGCTTAGGGACTCAAGGGTCCCAGGTACCATTCTGGTCAAGGGCATGTACCTTGGCTGTGGACACATCCCCAGTAGGGGGTGTGCAGGAGGCAGCTGATTGATGTTTCTCTCTCTTCGATGTTTCTAACTCTCTCCCATTCCCTTTCTCTCTGTTAAAAAAAAAAAAAAAAAAGATCCCCCTAAGGCTTAGCCTCAGCTTCTGCTGTTACAGTTCATGAACAAAGCTGGTGTTTTCTAAATAGTAATCCCCAAACTGTAAAATATGTGAATTGCATCCCCAGCAGCTAAAGATATTTGTGCCTGTTTATTATTAGTGAGTGCTGTTTAGAATCACACTTTGGTTTCTTGCGATTGAGTATACAGTGGAGACTTAGGAATCCTAAATGGTGAGTAATTGCTTCGGAGAGTAGAATTGGAATTTACAAGTAAACTCTGATAGATGGAGGGGGAACCTCCTTGGCATTTGGGCTTCGGTAACAAAATGCCACAGATTGGGTGGCTCATCAACAACAGACATTTATTTCTCACGGTTTTAGAAGCTGGGAAACCCCAGATCAAGGTACTGGCAGGGTTGGTGTCTGATGAGAACCCTCTTTCTGGTTCATAAACAGCTGTCTTCTCTCCATGTGTCCGCACAGGGGGCAGGGGGTAAGGAAGCTTTGGAATCTCTTTTACGAATACATTAATCCCATTCATGAGGGATTTGTCTTCTTCCAAAGCCTTTACCTCCAAATGCCATCATGTTGGGAAGTAGGTTTAGCATAGGAATCTGGGTGGGACATCAGTGCAGTCCCCCATGCTGGCTTATGCTTTCCATAAATCTAAGATTAGTATCCGAGGCACGAGCTATACCCTCTCTTCACAGAGAGAAAAAACTAAAAGGACAAAGGTAACTTGAATAAGACACTGTTGGTGAGGCTAATGGTAGAAGATGCAAAAAAATAACCAAATTATTTTATTGTGCACTTCGACACATCAGAATTGAAATATCAAAAGCAACCGAAGTCTTAATGCACCATTCCTAATAGTTTCCAGGTTTTCTTTGGCTGAAGCTATAGGAGCATCTGTATAATGATCACGTGTAGGACATAATCCATTTGTTATTCTATATGTCAATCATTGTTCTTGGTGTGAGGGATATGACAGTGAATGAAACAGACAGATACCCTTGCCCTAATGGAGCTTACATGCTAACGGAGGATACAGCAAATAAGTAAAATATGTATGTCATGTAGGATATTGTTCATGACAACAATAAGACTATGGAGAGAGACAGGAAGTGTGTGTCTGAGCTGCATTGGACAGTGGCCAGGAAGACTCTGTAATAGACACATCAAGGCCAGATTTGTTTTTCTAGTACTGGAGTGCTTTTGTGTTGGTTCATTCACACTTTTTTCTGTAACTCTCCGGGACCAGGGTAAACATTTTATGACCACTCTATGGCAACGGAAAAGGGTTGATTTAAACAGTGAAAGACAGTACTGCAAATATGGCCCAAGTTGTGTATTTATTTGATCCTGCTCAGAGTGAGGTATACAAAAAAACAACCATAAAGATGCTACACTTCCTTATTTTAAAAGGGGAAGATTTTGGTTTGCAAAGATTTTTATATATTAGGTTGAATTAAGTCCTCTCAAAAATCCCACAAAAGAGGAGTTAAGAGGATTCTGACCTCTAGAGGAGGCATCTGAGCCTCAGCTAGGCAGTACTGCTTTGCCACATAACTCAGAGCCCAGATCCACTAGCTACTCGTCCAATGTGCTACCCACTGCCCCTAAGAGAGAGAACTTTCAAAGTGAGGAAATCGTTCCCACCTCCGTCTCATTGTCTTGTCACTTCTCCTGGTGCCACTCTCGGGATGGGACTAACCTGCCCAGCTCCTTTTGTCATAGGCATCTCTCACCAGCACCAGACAGGTTACCCGTCAGCCCTGAGTCAGTGGGAGAGGCCTGTCCCCAGCCTGGGTCCTTGTCTTCTCATGTAAATGAATTTATACGAGAGACTTTGATTGTAATGTGAAAAACCAGTTTATTAAAGCTATTAAAGCATGCACCTTTATTGAAAAGGCAAAGCAAGCAAGCAAACTTCTACATCTGGCTTATGAAGTGCAGACGGGCTCTCAGCTAATCTGAAGATCAGGTTAGGTGGGGTTCTGAGGCATCATATACCCTCCTGTCTAAATGGTTAAAAATTCCTCTGCTGTCTATGTTGATACAGATTCTCAAGATCCCCCCACCATTTTTGTTTGTTTGCTTGTTTGTTTGTTATTTTTGTTTTTTAACTTTGTTGTGGACTTCCCAGAATTTATGAGACACTCCTGCCAACTATGTCATGCCATGCTTTGAGACCGCTGGCTTCTCTGCTTAGGGAGTAAACCTGCCCTTTTCCCTCTTCCCTCTTACCTTCCCCCTGTCTGCATTCTCTCATTAGGGACATTTTTTGTAATCATTTGCTCTCCTGTTCTTGGCTGGAGGGGATAATGGCTGGTTAGTCCCAAGCTGGCTGCAAGTTGCTCACACACACTGTTTGGCCTTATTCTAACATTCCTGACTCAGTTTCCCTATTCCTCCTGCCCCGGAATCCTATAACACTTTGGAGAAATGCTAATGAATGAAATGCAAGTGTTCTTATCCAACATATTGGGTTTTTATGTTCTTAAAGGACTGCTGGAGAGTGAGATAAAATTGCTTAGAAATTTGCAGGTTGCAGGGTAAATTGACCTGATTTACAGTTTTGAGACCAAATATCAGAAAAGCAAACCCGTATTTTATAGGCACTCAATTACCTGAATGGCTGTTAGAAAGCCCGGTGTTTGTCTTTAGGATGAAATGTAAGCATCTAAAGAATGTTAATTTTCTTAGGCTGTCAAGTGGACTATAAAATTGGCAAAGTGGCATTTATTAAAAACAGACTTTGATTGGATTTAAGATTTCATGGCTAAATAGTGGCGAATCAGAGAGATTTGCCTTATTAAAAATATTGAATTGCTTTTCAGTGGCTCTTCTGAGAGCGTTTCCCTATGCAATTTTCTGTGCAAAATTAAGTCTATATATCTTGCTACACAAAAATAATAATTGTGTAAGTAGAAGTTTGCCTCTGTTCCTCACTGATTATATTTAAACTAGTTTCAAGGTAGACTCCTGGCAGTCTTTTTCCTTTTCCTTCTTCCCCTGCATTTCATAGCTCAGGAGCTGGGCCTCCTATGACCATCTGTGTCTGTGAACCAAGTTCTTATTGTTCCATGTTTGAAGACTTAAAGGATTTATGAGGCTCCAGAGATTAGGGAGGGATTAAGCAGTCAGGGCCCAGTGGTTCTCCCATCATTTCCTGCTGGAGTTCGCAGGAGCAGCGGCTGCCACCATTACCTGGCTGTCAGAAACTGTCAAGGCAGTCCAGCATCCCCACCAGGTTGGCTGACGATGTGTCGACAGAGAGATGGATGTATAATGTGCCTTTCCCCAGTGCCTCCTTCTTCCTGGTGTCTCTGCCACGAAAGAATGGAGGGTTGGCTTGAAGGAATAGCGTACCAGTTAGGATCCAAGGGAGCACCAGTATGACCAGGAGAAGGGCAAACATCAGCTGGGTAAAGAGAACCAGATGCTGCCGAAACCAGTTTGGCTTAGTGGATAGAGCGTAGGCCTGTGGACTGAAAGGTCACGGGTTCGATTCCGGTCAAGGGCATATACCTGGGTTGCGGGCACGTCCCCGGTAGGGGGCGTGCCAGAGGCAGCTGATCTATGACTCTCTCTCATCGATGTTTCTAACTCTCTATCTCTCTCCCTTCCTCTCTGTAAAAAAGCAATAAAATATATAAACCAATTAATTAATTAATTAATTAATTAAAAATTTAAAAAAAGAGAACCAGATGCCAATGCCAATCCCACAGCTACCGCATGGCTGTGCTTCACCACAGCCTCGGGCTGTGGGGAGGTGAGTGGGAGGGCCATGGCGAGCTTGGTGTTGGAGGCAGATGTGGGTTTGCTGCCCAGACTCCAGAAACCCTGTGGGGGACTCTGGGCAGCTTACCTCACCTCTAGATCTCAGTTCCCGCAGCAGAAGGTGGAGACCACTGGTCCTCGCTCATGGGGTTGCTGTAAGGATTAATCAGTCACGACGGCTGTCTGTACTTTTGCAGACCACGCTTAGTTGTTGGGAGGCAGATCATACTGAAGATCCTAAAATAAGACATAAGCACCTGTG